TACAGTGTACTCACAGGCACAGGGGCACTCACTCCAACCTCTCAAGTGACCACACAACAGTGCCAGGCCTGCGGGCTCTGGGAGAAGGATCACAGCCCAGGCGGTCACCCGCTCAAGGCTCATATCCTCGAGCACAACAAACCAATGCTGTGCACAGATCTCACACTAAAGTTGAGTTATGATGCAAAGGCCCGCCAAAGACAATGCTTATCAAGGAACACAGTCTTCAAGGACACTACAGTAAAAGCAAAATTTGCCATGTGTGGTGGCACAGGCCTGCAATCTCAGCAGTCAGGAGGTTGAGGAAGGAGGATCTCCAAGAGGTGGAGGCCAGCCTGAGCTTTTCAGTGAGTTCAAGGCCAGCCTGCACTACACAGTGCGATCCTGTCTCAACAACAAAAAACCTATTCCGTTTTACGTACAAACTTTGCCAGTGAATGTTTTCAAAACAGAAATGTTTAATGTGGCTGAAAGAAATGTGTCTCTCCATGGGAGTATTGTTTTTATTTTTTGAGACAGGGTTTTGCTATGTAGCCCAGGCTGGCCTCCAACTCTTCGAGATCCTATCTCAGCCTCCTGAGAGCTGGGATTACCTAGCAGTAGTGGTTCTGAAAGCTCCTAGGCTGTAGGCACCTCACTTCCACCTCCTTGCTGTGGGATTGTTTTGTTCTGGTGCTGAGAATGTCTCTATGGGAACTTGCTGTTACCCCAGCTGGAGCACTGTCGCTCAAAATCCCGAGTTCCAACCGTGCTGGGTGCCCCACTGCAGCCCCATGCCCAGGAGGCAGAGGCATCAATGCTCATCTTAGTGTGGACACCTGATCCGCATCAGCACAGCACAATTCAGCCTCAGGCTTTTGGGCTCCAGTGATCCTCCTGCCTCAGCCTCCCTAGCAGCTGCCACAACCCAGCATACTTAGGGAAGTTTCAAATCCCTGTTCTCAAAAAACCCACCCAGTTTGTACAACTAGGTCTGCTGCCAGTGGTTTTAGATTTGATGCTTGATGATTCTGTCAGCAAATGTAACCCTAACCCTAACCCTGCTTACTCTTTTCCTCTGTGCTACTGGGGGTTGAGCCTAAGACCTTCCCACCGAGCTGACCTAGCCAGCCTTTTATTTTTTTATCTTGAGAAAGGGTCTTTGTCACTAAGTTGCCCAAGCTGGGCTCCAACTTGTGGTTCTCCTACCTTGGCCTCCTAAAATGCTGGGATTACAGGTCAGCGCCAGGATATCTGACCAAATTCATTATGTATCTGTTCACTTGTCTGTTTTTTAAAACAGCCCCTTACTATGCAGTACAGGCTGACCTTGAGCTCAGCGATCCTCCTGCTTCAGCTTCCCAAATGCTGGGATTATAGGCCTGTGCCACCAAGCCCAGCTCACGTTCATCTTTCATGTGTGAATGAAGTCCTTTCAAGAACAGGTCTGAATGCCTATAAGGGCTCTCTGCCACTGAGCCTGAAGTGCAGGCAGGTGCTTTTTACACAACTGAAATCATTAACGTCAAGACAAAACAGATTGATGATTCTAGAATAAAACTATGAAGGCAAATTTCCTATTTCAACTGAGGACCAGAGAGCCACTTTTGTAAGGAAGGCATAACAGAATAAATAGGGTCCTGCTCTATACTGCCCACTGCTTATGGTTAGGGTCAGAAACAAAATACCTTATCACATTGTATCTCAGTTGACAAGCACAACTGTTTACTTTTTTTGCACTTGAAACATTTTTGCAGTATTTTAACTGATGTTGGGCGGGTGTGGTGTGGCATGCCTATAATTCCAGCACTTGGGAGGCTGAGACAAGAGGATTGCTGGAGCTGGAGACCAGCCTGGACTACATAGTGAGCCTAAGGCCAGTTTGAACTGCATAGTGGGACCCTGTCTCAAAAAGACAAAAACAAAAAACAAAACTAAATCAGCTACTTCTGGCCTTCATGGAAGTGGACTAAACCACTAGTTGTCAGCGTGAATGAAGAGAATGCCAAGGCTGGGTACTAAAATTATTTTGGTAAAAGGCACCTGCAGGAAGTCAATGTCTCCTGACAGAGTCCGTGTTGGGGGTGACACCTCGCTTACCTTGGAAGCTGTCAAGTGGGAGAACTCAGAACCCTGCTGCAAAGAAAGCTTTGGGGCTGGGAAGGCGCATCCTCTCCCCCAGGAGAGAGAACCTTCTAACTATATCCAAGGGGGAAGAAAAAGAGGAAAGAATAGTATACAACTTTCATAGTTCTGGGTCAAATTAAATGAGAACACATAAATAAAAGTGTCTGACAACTTTTATTTTATTACCAAGGCACATTAGGTATTCAATAACTTCAGCCAAATTTTGAGCCTCAGAAACCCGTGTAATGGGGTGTCCTTGAATTCTGGTCGGTGAGTTTTGTTAGCATGTGTAGCTTCCAGGATTGGAGAGAGCAACTGAAATGACTTCAGTGATCAACTGACCAATCAAGAAATTCAGCAACACTGCAAATTTAGTGGGGTTTCTGTTTGGATTGTGCCCCAGCCCCATTTTGGCTTATCAGCTGGAATGATGGATTACTGAAAACTGGAGTCATATATAAGTAAAGACCTACTAAGAAATCCTACAGCTACAGAGTAGCCTTACCTCAACAGACACCACACAAGCAAGTTTCCGTGAGGATGAGGGACTCTGTGAAAAGCTGTGACAAACAGCTTAATACAAACACTGAATGCTTGTGTATAAAGTTATGGCCCAGCCGGGTATAGTGGCACACTCCTGTAATCCCAGCCCTTGGGAGGCTGAAGTAGGAGGATTGCTGCAAGTTCAAAGCCAGCCTGGGCTACAAAGTGAGCTGAAAGCCAGCCTGAACTGCATAGGGAGACCCTATCTCAAAAGAAAAATAAATAAAACAAACAAACAAAAAAACCCAAACGATGGCCCATAAAGGCAGAGGTTGTTGGCAGCAAATATGCCTTTCAAACCCACTAGAGGTCTAAGGAAGTAAGGACCTGGTAATGACCAATGCACTTTACTCCAGATGTTTAAAAAAACTGCAAGTACAACCATCTTGATGTGAAGCTCCCAGGATAGGAGTAAACTCATTTTACTTTAATTACGGTAGTTTTTCCCATTAAAAAGGGAAGTAAAAACCAGGAATACTCAAGTGTCCAAATTTAGAGGAAGAGAGTAGACAAAAGTAAAACTGATGGCCATTTCTAAATTCGGAAGCTCCAAAAAGCAAACCTTATGAAGAGGAGCCCCTAGCTGTTTCTAAACACTTTGCAATAGATTTCAAATGAAAGAAATGGTCTACTGATGCAAGACCCTACTATTACAAAGTCACCTCCTGGGTTAGCCAACGTGTCAGAAGAGTAACAAGAGACTCTCCTGGCAGGCAGGGTTAACCTTGATCACCTTTATCTACTGAGCTTTGCTCATTTAAGAAAAGTAAATTCATGACCTTCACTGCAGAATGACAAATCACTCGGGTTGGCAGCCCTGTGTTCTGAACCAGTATTCTAACTCCTAACAAAAATAAACACGTTTCTCACACTGGGTGCAAGCAGTGACACGTGTGAGCGCTGAACATCTAAACTTCAAAGAATCTAGATAAGAAAACAAATGTCTAGATAGAATTAAGAACAATTTTACTTAAAGAAAACCTAAGGCAGTCTTTAAATCTATTTCCAGGTTTGCAGTAGCCTTTCTTCTCGAAGCACACAACGAATTAGGATTATTTTTGGCTAAGTGGTCAGCTATACTCTGGGGGCTGATCTCTGCTTTTATTTGCACTGTGGAAAATAAACAGCTGTATTATGCCTTTTCTGGACGGTGAATTAGGATTTATTTACATTCCTTGGAGAGATGGAGACAAAAGACATTCCTTTATAATTGCCTCCCAGCACTCTCAATTTGGAGGACCACATGGAACACATATTTTTATATCTATTAGAGGAAAATAAATCCCCACACACACGATAACACAGGATCAGCAGACAAAGTGCCTGTGAAGTCTCTTGGAGTACAAATTTACAAACTGATCTACAAATCTACAAACAGACCCAGAACTTAAGACGTGGCATGCAGAAAGTCATGATAAGCCTGAATAAAAATTAAATAAATAGTAATAAATTACACCACCATGGTCCCTAACACGGCAAAAAATTAGAATACAAAATAATCATCACCGGAAAATCCGTGTCCCGAAAAGAGTTGTCCCCAACAGCAGCCCCGGGGCCCTGCCTGCCCCGAAGCACCTGCGAGCGCGGCTCGGGCGCCCCGGTCCCGCCCGCGGCCCGGCCTGGTGCAGGCGGCGGGCTCCCCGGGGCGGAAGCGGGCCTTGACCAGGGGCGCCGCACTTTTGCCCCCGGCCCCCTCCGTCGCTCCAAGATGGTAGGGAAGTTGTCGTTCGGAGGCCCGAGGAGCCGCGCGCTGGTGCTATGTCCTCGCAGTGCCGGTAGTGGTGCTGTAGGAGGCTGCTGCTTCTCCTTGTGCGGCCGGCAGCCCTGCCTTCACGGCTGGGGAGTACATTCAGGGATTTCCCCTTCATAATCACCGACCCCGGGCGCACTTTCTACTTTCCAAAATAAAAGAAAAAAAAATGATGATCCTCACCCCACTCGCTTGACAAGCAAAAGCTCTCGCCGAAGCCCAAGGGGGAGCAGCGGCGGCGGCGGCCGAGCCTCCCGGTGCAGAGCCGGCGCCTCTCGCGCTGAGCTGTCAGCCCGGCCGAGGAAAAAGGGGGGAACGAGGAAAAAAAAAAAAAAAAAAAAAAAAAAAAAGCGGCTGAAAGGTAAGCAGAGGCGGCCCCAGGCCCGGCCCACATCCCCGGGCTCCCGTAGGGCGGCGGGCTGGGCCGCGCGAGCAGGGCGGGCGGCGAGCGCGCTTACGTGAGGCCGGGGATCGTCGGCCCACGCCAGGCCGCGCGCGGAGAATGGACTGGTGAGTGGGGCCGGCGCCGGGGCGGCGGGGCCCGAGGCGTAGGGTTCGGGGGGAATGGGCCAGCGGGCGGGCGGGCGGGGTGCGACGGGCGCACGGCCTACTTGGGCCGGGCCAGGGCGGGGTGCGCGGCGGAGAGGCGCCGGCTAGGCCTCGCGCAGGAGGTCCCTGGCGGCCGGGTCCTGGCCCGGCCCCAGCAGGCCCGGGAGCCGGACGGGGCGCTGCGGGCCCGAGCCCGACGCCGGACCAGGCCTTCCCGCATGCAGGCCAGGCCGCCGGGGCAGGACCCTGAAGGCCGTAACTGGGTTTATTTGTTTCCTCCTAGGCGCGCGGCCGGGCCGGGCCGGGCTGGGCCGGGGCGGGGCGGCGGCCCGCGGGCGTGGGGTGGGTGGAGGGGCGGCGAGGAGTCAGGTGCAGCGCGGCCGGAAAGTTTCGCTCTAGGCCGGAGCAGGGGGCGGCCCCGTGCGCGGGGCGTCCTGGTCCCGCCCGGGACCCCCCGAGGGCGTGGGCCGCGCGCCGGCCGCTCGGCTCCGAGGCTGGGAACCGGTTCCGTCCGCTGAGGTACTCCGCCCCTGCCCGCCCGCCCGCGTCCCGCATGCCCTCGGTGCGAACTCGGCCGGCGGCCGGGCCCGCGGCGGGGATCGGGCCTGCTCTTCCGGGTCGGAAAAGTTTCCCGGCGCCTCTCGGAGCGTCGTTCTCGGGGCCGGCGCGGGGCTCGCGGGGAGGCGCGGGGAGTCGGTGTTCCCGCCGGACGGTCCGGCCCGGCCCGGCCCGGCCCTGGTATCTCCGGGCCCTGTCGCCCGGCCGCGCCCCGCGCCCCGCGCCGTCGGGCCCGGGCCTTCCCAGAGGAGCCGCGCGGGGGCGCGGGGCTCAGACCCGGGCGCCCGGGGCTGGGTGCGGCGGGCAGGCGGGCGGCTGGGGCCGGGTGTTACCTGCGGGCGCGAGCGGGGCGATCGTCCGCGGAGCTCGGCGCGCGCTCCCCGACTCCCGAGGCTCCGCGAGGGCCTCCGACTGCCGGGCACAGCCGCACTGGGGCGTTCGGATTTGGCATTTTGTTCTGTTTAACACGGACTCGGTTTGAGTTCTATATTGGTGTCAGGAGTTGTTTGTTTTGTTGTTTTTTTTTAACGTAGTAAACTGAAAACCTCCGTCTGGATTTCCTGCGGGGGAGCGTCCCGGGCGGCGACGGCGCCGAAGTTGCGAGGCTCACGGACCCGCCGCCGGCCTCGCGTGCGCGGCTGGAGGGCTCGCCCTTCCTCTCGTTTGTTTTTCTCCTGCTTTGAGTGAGCCGGGCTGTTGTGGGGCGCGCGCGTGCGTGTGTGTGCGCGTGTGCGCGGGCTGGCGCAGGTCGGCGTTCGCTGGCAGCGGTGGCCACGTTCCGCCCGTCCCGGCCCCCGTAGCGCCGTGGGTGCCTAGGGGAGGATGGGGACCCGAGAGTGCCCGGCTCCCTACTACTCCGGTGCGAAACTCCGCTCCTCCCCGAGGGGTCGCCTGCCTTCGGCGCTCTGGTGACCCAAGTCGCGATCGTGAGGGTTGTCTGGGGTTCGATCCCGAACTACAAATGACATTTCATGGCTGTTTTAACTTTATTCATTGAAATTCCTATCGGCTTGGAAAGTTGTACCAAAAAAACGATTACTGATAGTTTGTCTTTACTTTTAGAGCATATTAGATAGGGGGAAAATCGTTCCAGAAGGCATTTTTCCCTAGAGATTTTAAGGTTTGAAAGAAATTTTGTTGCCTTATCATTTGATAATTTTAAGGTTACATTTTCAGCTTTCTAAGGTCTCAAAACTGTAAAAACACCAAAATCTCGGTATCCTCACCCGAACATTTATTATTTCCCCAATATAATCATCTCATGGGCTGCTTTATTCCTAAAGGAATATAGTAAGTTTGATGTTTTTAAAAATTACATTCTATTTAAAACTAATAAAGACTTTCAGAGCAAATATTGAATTAGCTTTAAATTGCTTAGGGAATATACTTTGTCACTAATAAACGTTTGAAAGGTGGATGTTTAATTTATGAGTCTGAAATAATCAAGTTTTCTTTCCTCAGAAAGGTTTTATAAAGAAATCTATGTCCCCATCTAAACTGTTTTTCTCAGGAAATCATGTTGCTGCTATTTTTAGAGGAATGAGAATTTTAGTTTAGATTGATTTTTAAAAATTCTGTCTCAGCCAGTTACGGTGCTGTGACCCTGTAATCCCAGATCTCTGGAGGCTGAGGCAAGAGAACTGCCACGGATTTGAGGTCCGCCTGGGCTCCATAACTGAGTTCAAGACCAGCCTGAATTACAGAGATGGTCTATAGAAAAAAAAAAAGAAAAAGAAATAAAGAAAATTCTGCATTAGTTCTCAAAATGAAAAGTAACATTAAAATTAAAAATGTCATTCAAAAAAACGCTGATATACGCATTGTCCCTGAGATGCCCCTTCAGGGTTAGTGGCTCTCACTGTCCAGACTTAGTTCTCATACTGGAGACCCTCTGACAGTTTCTGGTGACAGCAGAGACCTAGCCCATCAGACGAGTGTGGCTCGTAGGTGCAGATCACTCTTTGGCTAAGCCCAGTCACACTGCAGACACTGTGGGGTTCTCTCCCCATGGCAGGCGGGAGAGTCCCAGAGGTGCTCACAGGGAGGCAGCTTTCACAGTGCTCCTGGCTGTGACACTGGGGGCCGGGGGGGAGACCTGCTGACACTTGAGGCCTCCCTCTTTACTACTTGGTTCTTGCTTCTTCCTGAGGTGCAATTTGTTTACTAAGCCCGTTTTTTGGAGAAATTTCATTTGTATCTTGGCACCCCGCAGTCAGAGGCTTGTTTGGACTGGGTTTGGGGTCTGATCCTTGCTCTTCCGGTGGGCGGTTACTTACAGGCTGGGTTTCTTTATCTGGAAGTAGAAAGCACATTCTTGGTGAGATGGTATGCACTGTGCCCTTGGTGGGTGTTCCTTCTCTGCCCTCCTTGCTAGTGGCTCCTCTGGATAGTATTTCTAGTATTTGCTCACTTATTTTGTAACTAAAAAGCCAGGAGTGGGGCATTCTTATTTTATACTTGAGCACAGACTTCCTTGTGGTATACACTGTTAACTGTCTTCCCCTTGGTGTTGGAGATCCAACCTCCTTCCCCCTAGGTGCCAAGTAAGCACTCTGCCACTGAGCTGTACCTCTGGCCAAACAGTTTTGGTGCCTTTTCTTCAGTTTGTGTGACTTCAAAAACATAAATGTGGGCTTTTCTATTAACAATGGGTGTATAGTTTTCTTTTAGTTTATGCTGTTCAGGCTGGCCTTGAACTCACTGTGGAGGCCAGGTTGCCCTCACAATGATCCTCCTGCCTCAGCCTCGTGAATGCTGAGAATATCACTGTGCACTAGCACACCCTGTTTAGTTGTGTAGTATTGTGTTCATTAAAACTGGAACTCTGGAATCCCAGTGGCCCTGCATCCTAGCTGTGTAACAGCGGTATATCACTTCATCTCATGGAGCCTCAGTTTCTTGATCTGTGAGAGGGGGTGATGACAGTGCCTACTTCACATGTGCTGTGAAAATTAAATTTGGAACTGCACATCAAGCCTTCAGGTCTGTCTTTAAAGCACTTACTGGGATTAATATTCTCAGTGTGAGTGTTGAATGCATCCCTGACTCAGTATATATTAATATTATTAATAAGTAGTGTGAATGTAGACAGAATGTTATAATTACCTTCATAGGGCAAATAAATATTGTTGTGCCAGTAAAAAATCGCAGTGTGTTCATAGAAAGTTTCATCAGCTACAAGTTGGCCTGGCCTCTACCCTTGAATCCTGAATGAGCAAACAGCATGAGGTGTCGAATTTGTCTCAGCCCCAGACTCTTCCTGGAGGCTTGTAAGTCTTAACGCTTGGCTCTGGGCGCCTGAGCCTAAGACCTCAGGGAGTCAATGCCCGCTCCAGTGGTTCATTGGGCCGATGGCTGGTTTCCCTTACTGGGAAGGGAGTCTGTGCCTCCCCCCCCCCCCATCTCTTCCACTCCCAGACTGGAGGGCAGGGTGGGCTGGCCTGGGGGAAGGAAGCCAGCTTCTCCCTGCTGCTCCAGGGCAGCCCCGGGGCACAGGCTGTGTGGGGAGGGGTCAGGTATTCCCGGAGGTGGGGACTGGAGTAGGAAGCAATTCCTGGGGACAAAAGAGGATTCTGTGTTGCAAATTGTGGTTTCTCCAGGCCCTGGAGTTGAGGGAGTGTGGGAAAAAGGTGGCGAGGTCAGGTTAGCCAGGCCTGGGCAGCAGGAATTTCCTTGTTAGACGGAGGAATTTCCATCAGTTTTCTAGATTCATAAGCAAACCCTGCGAAGGCGTTTGGTCAAACAAGTGATTACAGTTCTGAGGATTCTGGTTGTCCAGAAACCACTGAAGGACGGTAGGACCGGAGTTAAACTCGAGAGGCAGCTCCTGGGAAGAGAGTGGAGAGGGCGGGAAGCAGGCAGCTACCTGACGGAGAGGAGGCGGCTGTGGCTGAGGTTAGGAGATGAGGGAGGTGAGCGGTCACCCACCTTCAGGGCGGGCCGTTGGCCAGAGGTGCGGGCGGGCTGCGTGACAGGTGTGTACCTCCAGCTGGAAGGGGCCCAGTCAATTGGTTGGGATTGCCCCTCTTTATATGTTGAGGATTTTCAGTGAGCTGTTGTCACAGCATTAGGGGATTTTGTGTGAAACCTTGGATTTTTAAAAAATCTTTTAAAAAGATTTTAAAAGATGGGATGGGATGATTTGAAAACCTGGCTTTATTATTATTTTATTTTTTTAATGATGGTGAGACTTGCTGGCTCTGGTTTGCCTTAGAGGCCCCTTGTCCTGCTTCCCCACAGAGGAAGAGGGGGGAACGAGCGAGCCCCGAGTGCTGGACCGGGGGGAAGGAGGTAGTGACCATGCCACCAACATGGTGGGGGGTGCGCGCGTTGGTCGGCAGTGAAGTCCACTGGTCTCAGATCCCTGGCGCTTCCCGTAGTACAGGGCGCCTGCAAGGAGACTGCGTGGCCCGAGGAGCTCAGGCAGGTCCCATGTAGCTGCCAAGCAGCTGGGGGGCACCCACCCCTACCAGCCAGACCAGGGCCATCCTGCCAGGACCTCCTCCCAAGGCTGGTGCCCTGGGATGCAGTCTCCCACGGACCCGGAAAAAGGTGTCAGTGGGCCACCCAGGACCCCACGAGCAGCTGGAGGGCACTGGAGCCCTGCGGCTTGCAGATTAAAGCCATAGTGCTAATGGCTGCTACTCACTGCTCCAGTAGTAGTTAACACAGGGTGATTGCTGTGTGCTGGCTACCATGCTAAGCACGGCTCACGAAATACCTAATTTAATTCTCCTGGGTGACTCAGCGAGGTCGGCACAGTTATAATCTTCCCTTTGCAGATGAGCCCTTTCCCGCTGCAGCCCTGTCCCAGGTTGCTTCCAGAGCCAGTGAGAAAGCAGCTCTGCTCCTGCATAAACCTCCTCACCTTCCTCCTAAACCCCTCGAGGAGCCGTGGAAAGGCCGTATAAATTATTTCAGGTTCTTCGTCACAGTCTTTGTCAGATAGACATTTGCAAAGCGTTTATTTTCAGTGTTCTGGTTTGATTTTTTGTTTTGTTTTGTACTGGGACTCAAACTCATGACCTTGTGCTTGCCAGGCAGATGCTTATTGCCCCTGAGCTGTATCCACAGCCCTGAACTTTGGCTGTTTGAGATAGGTCTCAGTATGTATCTGAGCCAAGCCTTGAACTCAGGACAATCCTCCTGCCTCAGCGTCAGGTGTGTTGAGATTACAGGTGTGCTACAGCAGGCCAGTTACTTTGAACTTTATAATAAATGGCAAGTTTTTTCACCGATTTTTTTTCCTCTTTTTCAGTCACATTGGTTGATTTTAATCATTGCTCAGTCAAACCTTACTACTTTACATATTGATATGTGGATGTTAGGTTTTTAAAATTAAATGAGCTAGGCATGGTGTTAAATTCCTGTAATCCTTCCAATCACTCCCAAGAGGCAAAAGCAGAAGGATCACTGTGAGGGTAAGGCCAGCCTGGGCTACATAAGAGACTGTCCCCCCAAAAAACAAACAAACAAACACCAAAGAGGTAAAGCTTAGTTTTAGCTTTTATCGTCAGTAGAAAATGCAATAGTATTTGCCCTTTACTCTTTTTTTCCTCTTTGAGCAGGGTCTCACTTTGCAGTGCAGGCTGATCTTGAGCTCACCATGTTGCCGAGGCTGGCCCTGAACTTTACCGTGATCCTTCTTCCTCAGCCTCCCCAGTGCTGGGGTTACAGGTGTGCACTGCCATGTCCTGTTTCCCTTCCATTTTTGAGGTGCTGGGGATTGAACCTACGGTTTAATGCCCAAGTGCTGTTATCACTGAGCTGTATGCCCAACCTAGGAGACCTGGTAATATTTAAATTTTACAGCCAGTAAGGTGTTTGATTAAGATTGCAGTTTCCTTTCTTCTATCCATCTCCCACTGCATGAGGAGTACAGCGATGTCAACTTCCTCCCTAGGGGTGTAGGGGTTGTTTTTGGAGTGAAGACCTCCACCTGGGAGGAGCCAGGAACAGAGGCTCAGCAGCAGAACACTCAGTGCATGGGACCCGGGTCCCAGCTGTGCAGAACAAAAGTCACTGTCAAAACCCTAACCGGAGGTGAGCGGAGGGAGTTTTTACCCTTAAAACCTTCTTAGTGTCTTGTTATCATTTATTCTTTATTAATAAGGAAAGACACTTGGGAGCCTGAGGCAGGAGGAGTGCAGGTTCAAACCCAGCCTGGATAACTGAGTGAGATCTTGTTTCAAAAAATTTTAAAAGCCCTGAGAATATAGTTTGGTGCAAAGGCCCTGGAATTGATTCCTGGTATTAAAAACACTAACAAATCAGTAGGAAAAACTATTTCTTAAGGTAGGAAAGATCAGGTGAACAGTTGCTCTAGTTTATAGACAAAGTTACTTGGATATTAAGGTAATATTCATTGGTGATTTTGAAGCAGCAGTCCATTCTCTTCTGTCAGTCTTTCTCTTTATGGTATATAAAATAAGACTGTCAGAGATTACATCAGGCTGGGAATACAGTTCGGTGCCACAGCGTCTGCCTGGCAAGCGCAAGGTTATGCATTTGATTCCTGGTAGCAAAAAACAAAACAAAAGGAAGATTAAGACGAGCATATAGATAATGTGTGTTGTGTGTGTGTGTGTGTGTGTGTGTGTGTGTGTGTGTGTGTGTGGTTCTAGAATTGGAACCCGGGGACCTGGGTTTGCGCTCTCTACCACTGTACTATATATACCCTCTAGCCTGAACTGAACTTCGAAAAGACAAATTTGAAAATAGCAGTTCGCTGTTTAAAAGGAAAGTATAAAGAATCACAGAATGTGGACTCTTACCAGGACTTTAAAAAAAAAAATGAAAAGAAGAAATGGGAGGGAAAATTGAAAATTAATGTAAGAAAATGGAGGTTGAAGGGCAACTGGGTGCAAGGTGCTGGACCAGCCTGCTTTGTTCAGTGGGAGGGAACCCAGGCGGTGGGAAGGGCGGCGAAGAGGCCGTGGACTAGTGAGAAGCAGGCTTTTCCTGCGTCCTGGTGTTGTGGAACACGATTTGCTGAATAAGTACTGAGTCACCAATTATATAACGTTCCTTTGAAAAAGCCATTTGCTGTTACTTACATATGCTAAAGCTTCCACGTGATACTCTGTCTTGGTATATGGCTGTGGTACTAGAAAGGCCTGTATGAGCTGGGCGTGGCACACCACACCTGTCATTCCAGCACCCAGAGGCTGAGGCAGGAGGATCGGCGTGAGGTCCTGGCCAGCCTGGGTCACGGGGTTACACAGTGAGTTGGGCCTGCCTGAACTACATAGCAAAACATTGTCTTGAATACTGTCCCTGCCAAAAGAACACCTGAACCTGGGCATGAGCGGGTGCCAGGAAAGGTTTCCTCTGTGGAGTACGTGTCAGACACAGTGAGAGGAACAGCTTTCTCCCAAGTAGGTGACACCCTGGGGGCAAAACCAAAAGCCCTGTCCTGCAGCCACAGCGCTGGGCGTGCGCCCTGGGCTCCCGGGGCACGGGGCACGAGTGCCAAGGCAGGGAGAAGACCAGCATTAAGGGCTGAGGACTGAAGACGAGAAAGCCTAAGTTGTGGTCCTCCAGAGCCACGCCATGCAGAGCCTATCCAGCATGGAGTCGGCCCTCAGGAGAAATTTGTTCCTAAGAATTTACTTCAAATCCGGCAGCTGAAAGTTCAGCCAGTTCCTTGTGGTAGGAGGTGGGGTGAGATATAGCTCTTCTGAAACAGGAGTTTGAAGATGAAACAAAAAGTTTAAAAAAAAGAACAGTAAGACAACAGAAAAGGCAAAGTCAGCTGATGAAACCAGGGTACAAGTCAAAGAGAAAAGTCCCACTGATGGGGAAATGCTCCCTTTCAAAGCCATGCCTGGAGGGGCGTGTCTGTAATCCCATCCATCACACAGGAGGCTGAAGCAGGAGGAAGCTATATAGTGAGTTCAAGGCCAGCATGACTACATACAGAGGCACAGTCTCCAAAAGTTTTTTAAAAAAATGATAGTCGCTTTCCAAGCAGTGGATGGATAATAGAGACGAGATTGAGAAATGTGAGCGGTCTAAAAAGGGGAAAGTGAAAGTGAGGAAAGACCAGAGGTGCTAGGTCTGGTGGTTTACACCTGTAATCGCTGCTGCTTAGGAAGCTGTGCCAGGAGCAGCCAGACCGAGGCCAGCCTGGGCAGTCTGGTGAGGCCTCACCTCAGGCTTGTGGGACACGGGACGCGGGGCACTGGCCTGGCATGAGTGGGGCTGTTTCCGTCTCCTGAGCTGCAAACACAAGAAGGAGTTCTTATCTTTTTTTTTTTTTTTTTTTTTTTTTTTTTTGTCTTTTTTGTTTTTTATCGGTACCAGGGATCGAACTCACGACTGCCTGCTTGCAAGGCAGGCGCTTATGCCGCTGAGCTAAATCCCCAGCCCCAGGAGTTCTTATCTTTACCTGGGTGAGCTGGTTGTTGGCATTCTCACAGCTGGGAAGCTGAGGCAGGAGATCGAAGTCTATGGTTAGTCTGGTCTACACGGAGCCACCCTAAGCTCAAAGACTAAAAGTAAAGAAAAGAAAATGATTGTCAGGTTGGAGCAGAGGTGTAACCTAGTAAGAGACACACGTGGGAACATGGGGGAGCTGAGGGTGTAGCTCAGCGGCTGGGCTCCTGCCTAGCGATGTTGAGACTTAAGTTCTGTCCCTGACATCGCAGAAGTAGATAAAAAACAGTAACTGTTTTCTACTCCATGGCCATCCGGTGCCCAGCATAGCTGTGCGGCTCAGCGCTGCTGGGGAAGGGAGGGAGGGCTGTGTGGTCAGGCAGGAGCACGCTGTGACCCTGTGAAACTTAATTTGCAGACAGGGAAGGGGGCCAGCTGTCCCGTAAGTCGTGGCTTTCCCGTTTATGACCTAAAATGTAGCCCCAGAAAAATCGAGAGCAAGAGGGCGGCAGACTTGTTAGCAGCAAATTTGAAAGCACAGCAGCCTTGCTACCTGTGTCAGAGAAGACTGCAGCCAGCCGCCCGGCCTCTGGCTTTCTCTTTCAGCCGCACCCCTGGCTGCCTTTCTTTTCTTTTGCTGCTTTTTTGTCTGTCTGTCTGTGTAACCATCTGTCTGTGTGTCTTCTCTCTGACTCCCACTCTGTCACCCCTCGTTCCAGGTCTGAAGGTTGAATCCTGAGCCCTCTCCCCGTCCTTGGGTTTTGTTTTGATGCAGGGTCCTCCAGGCTGCCCTTGATCTTGGGCCCCGCCTGCCCCCCACGCCTTCCATAGCCCAAAGTGCGGGCCGGAGCACAGAGCTGGAGTTCCCAGGCTGGCGTCCACACCGTAACACATCAGTGTGGTTTGAAGGTGCAAAACATCAGGAGAGACAGACGTCCACTGGTAGCACGCAATTTGAGTTTAGTTTTTCCAGGCCTTGCTACGAGGGGCAGAGGAGAGGACGACCCAGCGTCATGGGAATGACGTAGGGGACAGTGAGCCCTGTACACTCTGGGTGTTTTTCAAACGTGTGTTAGACCCCCATGAAAATCCTAGTCAAGTCCAAAACCCTAAGATATAATGCAGATAACGAACGTTTCCTTTTCATCTCTGGAATTTAAACAAAAAACATTGTAACCCTTACTGTCTGAAAAAAAAGTGATTTATTGAAAGAGAAGTTAGGAAGTCTAATCCAAATGAGCTAGAATGAACTGATGGTCAAAATTCTATGTGCTGGACCAAGGTCCTCAGAGCAAAAGTCAAAAGTCATAAACAGATCACTAAGCAAGAAAATGAAAATAAAAATATTCAGGAAGCAGAATAAGCCGGGTATGGTGGCAACATGCCTGTAATCCTAGCGCTTGAGAACTAAGGCAGGAGGATCACCTCGAGTTTCAGGCAGGTCAAGGCTACATAGTGAATCCAGGCTAGCTTGGACTACACAGTGAGACCCTGTCTCAAAAACAAGAAGCAGAATGAAATAAATGAAACACAACAGGAGCGATAGTATTAGCAGAGAATTAAAAAAAAAAAAACATAAATGAATGTACTAGTAAATCCAAGAGGCTTCTTTTTGTAGCTGGTGTTAAAAACACTAAAGAGAGAAGAATTAAATCCAGTCATGAACAGAGCGGAACACATGAATCCTCATAAGAACAGTCACTATGAGGACAGATCACAGGTAGTGAGAGGCTGTTGTACTGATAGGCAAACAAGTGTGAAAACCTGCTGCACAATTCTCAACCCGGGCAACCTGAGGACCTTAAAATAACCAATCTTCAAATACCTTCAAATATCCTTCAAATACCTGGACAAGATGGGCGGTGGCCAGTTCCACAGCGCTGGCTGAGCATGCCCAAGGCCTCAGATTTGACGCCTGGCACCATAGAGGCTGAAACACAATTTGGTAGGATGAGCCTTCCGTTCTGAGTTAAAACAAGGTCTGGGAAGACTGGGCCTGATAGCATCCGCCTGTAATCCCAGCACTGGGGTGGCTGAGGCAGGAGAGTCGCTTTGAGTTTCAGGCCAGCCTGAACTGCATGGTGCAGCCCTGTCTCAAAAAGACCAAACATGAGACATGCTGGGGAGGCCACTTGGTGGCAAAGTGCTTGTCCAGCATCTCCAGTACTGCAAAAACCAAACAGCAAAACAGAACAGGAACAGCTGTTCTGAATGAAACCAAAACTGGTTTACGTTGTTTTGCTTTTTGGTGTTAGAGATTGAACCCAATGCTTCCCACGTGCCGAGCACATGTTTTGCTGAGCAACACACAGGAAATACGTCTTACAGAAGTCAGCTGCCACCCTTCCTCTTCTTCCTCTTCCTCTTCCTTTTGAGACAGGTCTTTGTGGCTCAGGCTGGGCTGGAACTCAGGGCGATACTGCTGCCAGAGCCATTGGCTGTCTTTATTATTAGCACTGCACAGCCAGTCAGCTGGGGTGGACAGGCGTGACTGTTGGCAGCTCATGGGGGGACAGAGGCTGTGGTTGTGTGCAGTGCCTTGAGTGTGCCAGTGTGAGAGGTGAGTGTGGCCCTCTCCACTGTTGCTTTTTTCTTCAGAAAGACAAACTGATTTTTTTATGTGCCTGTGGCCAGGGCTTTTTCCCTGGGGTGCACACGGGCTTCTGGAGCTAGGTGGGGACTATGCAGGGGCTGCAGCTTGGAGCCCCGTGGAGGAGGCACTGTCCTGGAAAAGCCAGAGCCTCGGAGCAGCTATGTCTCCGTTCTCGCAGCTTTCCCTTCTAGCAGCCCAGGAAGGTGGGAAAGAGAAGCCCTGGTTCTTATTTGAGACTTTATCCGTGTGTGATTAGATTCACCTGGTGATGTGTGTGGTTCTTATTTAACTAAGCTAGTATCTCAGGTTTTTTCCCCGTTAAAGTGAGTGAAATGTTTCTTGAGAAAGGTGTGCAGGTGCTCCATCCACCACTGTCATTACCAGGATGCCAGGAACTGTCAGTAGTCTTCCTGCCTCAGCCTCCTGAGTGCTGGGATTGCAGACATGTGCCCGTACAGCGGATAATGTATTATAAGAATTGTTGCTTCTGAATAACAATTACAGGAATAAACTGTGTGTCCAGTGCTTCTCATGTGGTGGGCGTGTCCCTTAGAGTGTTGTGTGCTTTGTATCATTTGGTCCTTGGGAAACCTGGCAATAACAGAGCGACTGTCACAGCTGTTTGACAGATGAGGAAGTTGAGAATCAGAGAGGTCCATGATTTGGTCAGTGTAACAGTAAGTGGCACAGATTTGGGGCTTGAACAATAACTTTCTACTCAAGTGTCTGTGTGTCTTTTCACTCAGTGGTATAAAGGAATTTTTTTTCTCTTTTTCTGTGCATTGCTTTTTGCTGGGAAGGGAACCTGGCATCTTGGACATGGCAAGCACTCACCAGTCTCCTGAGCCACCCTTGCTTCGGGGTCGTCCAGGAACTGTCATCTGAGCTGTTGCGTGTTGCATCTTGGTGACCTCAGGAGGATCAGCCTGGGTCCGCGCACTAGGAGCCTGATTTGGCAGGGAGAATGAGTGTCAGGGTTGTGGACTGTGGTGTCCCATGAGTGCTGTCCCTGGCCTGTTGTGTGTAGGAAGCTAGTGAGTGTCGTGTAATTTCTTCTCACCTTCTTACGCACTCTCAAAAGACTCAAACCATAGTCACTGCCCTATTCCAAGCGACTGGGAGCTCCCCATGGTGCAGGACTCTGAGACATGTGAATGTGGTTGGGTGACATGTCTTTGGGCTCAGGACGTTCATGGTTTGATGGCACAGACAGAAGTGGAAGGCAGTAGCATGTTTTTAAGAGCAGAACTTTGCTCCATATTGTGTTTCATAGAAACACTTTGAATTGCTGATTTTTATATACAACCAAATGTCTTAGTTACTTTATTCATTGCTAAAATGTAATACCTGACACAAGTTAAAGGAGAGATTTTTGTTGGCTCACAGTTTGCAGAGGTTTTAGTCCATAGTCAGCTGGCTCCAAAGCAGGATGGCACATGGCAGAGGAGAAACAGTCCATGGCAGGGCAGTCAGGAGGCAAAGAGAGATCACGAGAGGAGGAGGGATAGAGACCCTTCGGCCATGACTGGGCTTCTCCCAGCATCACATTTTGTTGTAAACTCATCAGTCACCTCCCAGAGCCCACCTGTGTTCACATGAGCTAGAGGGGGGCTTCTAGAACAGACTATAACACCATAAAAAATACAGGCTTTCAGAGGGAGACTAGGTCTACAGTTAATTCCACCAGCGTATTAAAGGGTTTGGTTTACCAGTGGTGAAAGCTAGGAGTGGTGGTGCATACCTGTAATGGCAGAACTCTGGAGGCAGAGGCAGGAAGACCACTGCAACTTTAAGGCCAGCCTGAAATACATAGACCTGGTGTCGAAAAAAACAGTAACAAAAACCTGCCAAAGGTGAAGTAGAAAGACCTGCACCTGTGATACTCATTTGGTGGACTAGCTCAGCTGTTCTGAAGTAGTCACAAAATTCAGTGTGAGTGGATCAGTGGTTTAGCTCAGTGTAGTCTAGGTTCCACAGAAACATTTCTTTGAGGGCACACTTGAGAGGAGAGGCAGGTGAGGCAGAGGCTGGAAGATTCCTGCAAGTTCAAGGCCAGCCTGGGCTGCAAAATGAATTGAAGGCCAGCCTGAATTGCATAGTGAAACCCTGTCTCAAAAAGAAAGAAGGAAACGTTTCTCCCAAATTGCCAAATGTCTTTTTAACCCCACGTCTTAGTGACTTTCTGAAGTGAATATCAAGGTAACTTACTCTATAATAATGCCTTTTGTTTTTTTTATTCAACTTCATTTTTGAGATGTTGAATTACAACAGAATCAATCACATGAAAAAAGGTGATACAGCAAAATAACTCACGTTCTGGGTGAGTTAGTCTTGCTTGTGTCTGTTTGTTAACTAGGACTTCTGACGACTTTGCAGACAGTCTGCTTCCCCTTGATTTCACCAGCCACCTAACCGCACTGCCTGGGAAGCTCGCTTAGCATTGCCGAGGTGCGGAAGGGTTAAACTTAGGTCCAGGTTGGGGCCACAAGTCCCTCGGGGAAGTTTGCAGCTTTCTTTGTTGTGATCTGATTTATCACTCACGTTTTGCTTTTTTCTTTTCTTTTTTGTGGTAGACGTTTAGCTGATGTTCACAAGGCATAGAGTCACGTGATGTACGAAGGGAAACACATACACTTCTCTGAGGTTGACAATAAGCCCTTGTGCTCGTATAGCCCCAAACTGTGCAAGCAGCGGCGTCTCAACGGCTACGCCTTCTGCATCCGACACGTTCTGGAGGACAAGACTGCGCCCTTCAAGCAATGCGAATATGTGGCCAAGTATAACAGCCAACGCTGCACCAACCCCATCCCCAAGTCGGAGGACCGCAGGTGAGGCTGGGCGCAGGCTTTGCCCTCCGTTTCTTTCTTTCTTTTTTGCAGTGCCGGGGATTGAATGCATGATCTCGCGCTTGCCAGGCAGGTGCTTATGCCGCTGAGCTAAATCCCTGGCCCGCCCTCCTTTTCTCCACTCTGATAATCAGCATTGTAGTCCAAGTAAGCTTGAGAATACTTCTCCCCTTCAGTGCCTTCCAGTTCTGGAAACAGAAGTCAGTTTTGGGGGGGTGTTCATTTAAAGAGTGTGTGAGTGCTTTAATTGATAATTTTGAACTTTTAGAGGTATTGAAGCATGTTTGTTTTCCTAGAAAACCATGGCTTGAAGCATTAGTACTGATTCCTGTGGTCTGTGGCCTTGTGAAAGAGTTCCTGGCTTCTTAGCTTCATCATCTGCCTAGAAAGAAATTCCAGGAATTGCTTAAGTGTTCTCATTGATAATAGGTTTTTAAATCTGTTATTGAAAAAGAATTGAAAGCCGGGCATGGTGGCACACTTCTGTAATCCCGCATTTGGGAGGCTGAGGCAGGTGGATTGTGGCAAGTTCAAGACCAGTCTGGGCTACAAAGTGAGCGTGAGGCCAGCCTGAGCTGTGGCGTGAGACCCTGTCTCAAAAAGACAGAAAAGAAAAGAATTTGAAGATACTCATTTGGAAACATTTCATAGGATAGTCTTTGGCATTGTTTTATACTCTTGCCTCTTTTGGCTTAAAGTTCATACTGTGTTTATTGTGGTTAAGAAACTGTTTTTCTTGAAGGGTAGACTTTATTGCTAGGGTTAGGAGTGGACACTTTGCCATATTTTGAAAAGTAAAGTGGAGCTCTTCTGGCAATGTCTTACATTGGTGTCTTCACACTACCTTTAGCATAACCTTTGCTTTCTTCATGCCTCTTTTTCAGTTTTGGAGACCACACTGGTCACTGTGGGACAGTAGAGGGATCCACAGGTTTTAGATGTTTGTCTTTCGAGTCTTCACACGGCAAATGTGAACCTTTTAACTCTGCCTGAGCACACGCACACACAGCTGCCCTCATCTGTGTTGCAATGCATAAGCAGATGTCGCCGGTGTAAAGTTGGTAAAAAAGGATCATGTGTTTTTTATGTCATGGTGAGCACTTCTTCAGCTGTTAGTGTGAAACAAATAATTCGTGTGGGTAGAGAACCCACCGAGTGTGTGCGCACGTTGTGATGTGGGAAGCCTCTCACCACTGCCAAAGAGCAGGGAGGCTTCCCGTTACACTCCCAAAAGCTGCAGACAGCTGCTGAGTGAGGTGAGGAATAAAACTTTAATCTGAGGTAAGATAGGGACCTGCGGGTTAGGCTGAGCATGTCTGTCCAGTTGCTTTTAACAGATGGAAAACAGTTCTGTACGCTGTCCTCTTTTAATGTGAGTGTTGCTGGGCTTGGATTAACTCTTCCTTGTCCACTGTAAATCGTCCCTGTAACTCCAGGTGTCATTGCCCACCCTGGGTTATTTCCATTTAAGTTAAAGCAGGTATCATCGAAATAGGTAACAGGAAGAAGTAATCGTGAGAGGCCCGAATTTCTTTAAAATATTAAGCTCCTGAAGCGTCTGCTTTCACTTTTGTCTTCAAAGTGGTTTTTCTTTTTAGAACATGATAAGCAAGAAAAGTTTGTCTAAGATAATAGAAGCTATGCTTAATAAGTACCGAGTTCCTAAGAAAATACCTATTACTTTATATATATTTGAAATTGGTCATGATTATATACACGCAATTGATGTTAATATTTTTGTTTGTAGGATTGTCTAAAATAAGTTAAAGTGGAATCAGCAAGTAGTCAAACCTCAAGAAATTCAGGTTGAATTCATGTAATAATATATTAAAACTATATAAATACCATGGAATCATAGTATAGTATAGAGAAGGTTAATAATCCATTAAAAATAAGCTTCCATTATTCTCTCCCTCCCCCCAGCAGGACCTTGCTATGTAGCTCAGGATGGCCTCTAACTCTACAATCCTCCTGCTTCAGCCTCTTGAGTTCTGGGTTTCAGGAAATAGCTCAGGCCGGCCAGGAGCTCACTTTGCAGCCCAGGCTGGTCTTGAACTTGCAGTGATCCTCCTGCCTCAGCCTCCTGACTAGTGTACTTTTTACTGCTCTGCAAGCCGTCATCTAATTCAGAATGTTCTCAGCTCACTTGGGGGACCTAGGGAACCTGCCCCCTCAGTGGCCGTGCCTCTTGCAGTTGTCTGCAGACTCGATATTTGTGTTTGTGCCCTACTTTGAGTGCTTGGGTGGCTGGGCAGCCTTTCCTCTGCCCAAGGTGGTCAGGCATATGAGTCCAGCACTGCTGTGTCCACTGTGAGCCGTGCGGACTGTGAGCACTTGGGCGCTAAGTGGAGGAGCAGAGAACTTTGACTTCTAAACAAAAATAAACAAGCGACTGCCTCACACTTCTTCCTACCTTAAGAAAAAGAGCTAAAAGCATCCAAAGCGGCTCCCCTCATGGTCAGTGCCCGTCACTGCTTCTTCCCCAGCTGCCGCTTGCTGGGCCTGCTTCATTTCAGGGTTGTGGGGTGAGTTGAAACCTGCGCAGCACACGCTATGGAGATAACTCTGGTGTGCTCTGGGGACAGGCTTAGATCTCAGAGGTTAGCAGGAGGACTGCAGTGAGTTTGAGGCCACTGTGGGCTACAGTGCGAGTTCAAGGCCAGCCTGACCTACACAGCGAGACCTGTCCCCTAGAAACAACAGTTTCCCTCTTCAGATCACCTTGGGACACACAGTGTAGGTGGCTCATCTCCTTGTGGGGACCTGATAGCACGTGTCCTCAAACAGACTGCTTCGAGACGTTTTCAGCAGAGACAAACAGCAGCAGAGCCATCGTGTCACCTTGTCAAAGCCAGCATTTCCAGGTTTCTTTAGTCACGGAATACTGTCTGTGTCACACCCGTGATGCACAGTGGGACTGCAGGGAGGGAGGGTATGAGTTCAGACAAGGCTGCTTTCCTGGATAAGTCTGCAGGCTTTCAGTCAAGTCAAGTGGCATGGCATGTATTCTGCTTTCCCATTATTTTCATTATTATTATTATTATTATTACTACTACTATTTTTCCTATTATTATTATTGTCCTGGTACCAGGAATCAAATTCAGGATGTCGTGCTTGCAGGCAGGTGCTGTGCCACTAAGCTGTATCCCTGGCTCCTTTTCATAATACTTTATTTTATTTTGGCAAGGGGTGGGTACCGAGAATCAAACTCATGACCTTGCGCTTGCCAGGCAAGCCCTTGTGCCGCTGAGCTAAATCCGGTCCCCTTCATGATACTTTAAAAGTAACATTTATGTTATAAAAAATGCCTGCTGACTGCTGAAGACGCACAGGGATTTTTGAGAGCTTGTGGCCCGTGCCCACCACCACCCTGCTCAGATCAGGGCCTTGTGCCCCCACCACTGAGTGGCACCAGCACCGGCATCCCTCGTTCTTTTGACTCCTTGAGTTTCAAGACAGGACCTCATATGCACAGTCCTGCTGCCTTGGCCTCTAGAGTGGCCAGGGTTGTGGGCCAGCCGTGTCCAGCCTTGCTCCCCGCCACTTATAGCGCCATGGAAAGCAGTGGGGTGGGTTTGCCTCTGCCCATGCTCTGCCCCTAAGACAGGAGGGCACTGTTTCCATGTCTTCTCCAGGCTGGGACATACACAAGGTTCTGAGCAGCTCGGGTCAGCCACAGTTCCATTACCCAGTGTTACTCTTTGGTTTTCTCCTTCTGTTTCTTTATCTTTTGGTACTGGGGATGGACTCGGGGCCTTGCGCATTGAGCTGGCCCCAGCCTTCCAATGTGAAGTACCATCCCAGTCCCTTTTCCTCTCAGTGTGAAGCATGCAGAACCCTGACCACCTCCGGGGTATAAAGCCCCTGCACACCTCCCCTGTGTGAATGGCCTTGCAGCTGCCTTCTCTGTAGTTGACTCTGAGGTGCCTTTCAGGCTCGTGCAGGGCAGCTGCACGTGCTGGGCACAGAGAATGGAGAGGCCATATGAGGTACAAGGAGGGTACGCAGGCAACCGTGGTCATGGGGCACTGCTTGCTGGCTGGCAACAGCCGCTGCACACATGCAGTGCCCTCGCTCATCTGGGGGAACCACAGCGCTGGACTGGCCGTGGAGCAGGGGTGCTGCCTGCTTATTTTCCCTGTGACTGTCGTGTTGAGCACGTTGGGCTTCACTGTGGTGACAATGTGCACTCTTGCCTCTGTTCTTCATCTGTGTCACGGATGTTCTCCCTTGTGTGTCCATTTTAAAGGTACTGCAACAGCCACTTGCAGGTACTTGGCTTTATCCCGAAAAAAGAGAGGAAGAAGAAGAATGACCCTATAGATGAGGTCAAGGTCCGGCACCAGGTGGATACCATGGCCTTCAGCCTGGCCGTGCCCACACTGGCCCTGAAGATGCCCAATGGACTAGACGGCATGTCCCTCTCCCCGCCCGGGGCTCGGGTACCCCTCCACTACCTGGACACGGACTTGGAAGACCCGTTTGCGTTCCACGAGGAAGATGAGGACCTGAAGAAAGGCGCCACCGTGAAGAAGAAGCTGCAGAGCAAGCTGGCCCAGAACCGGCAGCGCCAGAGAGAGACCGAGATCTTAAAAGTTCGGCAAGAGCACTTTAGCCCCCCTCCTACACCCTCCCAGCAGCTGCAACCACAGCTGTCACCGCCACCGCCAGCACCGCAGCAGCAGCAGCAGCCGCCGCCCCAACCGCAGCCGCTGCACTCCCACCCGGTACCTCTGCCCCAGGCCGCAAAGCCCCCCACCACCCCGCAGGGCTCCATCTGCACGTCGCCTCCACCTCCGCTCATCGGAGGCCCCGCGCAGGGAGCAGTGCCCCCCAATGCCGCAGCACAAGCCCGGCCTGGGCCACACCGGCGACCCCCGCCTGCCCCGTCCCGGCCAGACCGGGTGCTCATGCAGGCCACAGCCTTCTCCCCGCACCTGAGCTGCATCAGCCGGCTGCAGAGGCTGGTGACGTTATACACACAGAGGCACCAGCTGGACGCCGACCTGTTCCCGCATTTAGGTGAGTCCTCCCGTGCTGACTGCGGCCTGTGGGCCTAGCCTAAGTATCACCTCCTTGAGCAGGCTTTGTAAGTTTGGGAAAGGCTGTTTGCAGGACTGTGGTAGCAACAGAAACGGCAGCAAGGACATGGGCAGGAGAAAAAGCATGAATTTCAGGGCCAACGAACACATGGAAACGTCCTGTTTCCTTATAGCTCACCCAGCTCTGGGCTCTGGCCGCTGCAGGGAGGTGCAGCTGCCCCGCTGTGCTTTTAGGAAATAGTGGTGGGTCTTCCTGCATGGCCTTATGTTGTCCCACTTGTTGGGAAACCAAGTTTGACTTGGTAATCAAAACCTAAGAGAGTGAAAAAATTTAGTAAAAAAGAGTAAACACCAAACCCCATTACTACCTATGTTGGTTTATTCTTTCAAACACTCAAGTTCCTACTGTGCGCAATTGCTTTGTGTTTTTTACACTGCAGAAGGTTACAGCTCCTGCCTCAGCCTCACCTATGCCGGACTGCATCCCTGAGACAGGGTCCCTGAGCCAGCCCAGCTGGGCACGGCCAACCTGATTGCTAACTTGCTTTTTTCCTTGCCTGTGCTGGGGTTTGAATCCTGGGCCTGACGCATGCCAGGCACATACACCACCACTGAGCTAAATCTCTGTCTCAGTTTGTCATGAAAAATAAAAATTTTATCCGTAATATAATTTGCCCCAGAGCCCTGTAACAACTTTACGGTCGCATCCTTAATGTCGCCTGTGGGCAGAGTCCTAGAGCAGCTCTGAGGTTCTTTGCCTCCCTGTTCTCTTCAGCACTGAGAGTTAACCCAGCGCCTTCCCGCTAAACCACATCATTCCCTGTCCCCCACTTTTGTTTGTTCTGTTCTTTATTTGTTTGAGACAGGATCTTGCTGATTTGCCAGGCTTTAATTTGTGATCCTCCTGTTTCAGCCTTCTAGAGCACTGGGATCTCTACCCTGTATGATGCCTCCCCAGGGCGCTTTTTGTTTCTGAAGGTCTTGGGGGTCTTGTGGGCATAGCTCAGTCATGCATGTGGCCATGAGTTTGGTACTTGGCTCTCTGCCTTTTTGGCGCATGTTTCCAAATTTTTCTTGAATTCTTTTGTCGGCTTTTCCCTTCTCTGAGCTCTGAGAATCTACATCTCTGTTAGGACTCAGTGTTACTCTTGGCTTTGCATATTTAACAGGTATTCCTATTTGCATATGTTAGGTCAGGCTTTTATCAAATTTGGCCTTCGATTCTTTCACACTTAAAAACTGTAGAGGGCTGGATGTGATGGTACACACCTATAGTCCCAACACTCAGTAGGTGGAGGCAAAGGGATGTCTGTGAGTTCAAGCCCAGCACCCGCTATATACTAAGTTTAAGGCCAGGCTCAACTACATAGTGAAACCCTGTCTCTTTAAAAAAAAAAAAAAAAACAAAAAACAAAAGATTGAGGACATAGGGTTTTTGTGTATCTTACTCGGTTTTTGGTACCAGGGATTGAACTCATGCTTACAGACAGCGCTTGAACCGCTGAGCTAAATTCCCAGCCCTTGTGAATATTTGTTGATATTTACTGTGTTATTAGCTGAAGATGAAAACATTAAGGATTTTTTTTTAATTGAAGGACTGTCTCAGTTACTTTTGTCTGGTTGCTGAGACAAAATACCTGATACCCAAAATGAAGGAAGGAAAGGTTTATTTAGCTCACGGTTTGTGGAGATTTCAGTCCATGATCAGCTGGCCTCAGGGAGGGTGGAATGGCATAGGGGCAATATCTCAAGGCAGCAGCCAGCAAAAGGAGGGAAAAACCTCTTCTCCTTCTTTATGTTGTACACAGCTCACCCTCACCAGCCGGTGTAGCACTCACAAAATCTCCTTGCCCTCCTTTGCACAGGATGAGGGTATTTATAAAGTAAGGATCCTGGCTCTCTGCTGAGTCTCTTAGTTAAACTCCTAAACTTTTCAGGTTGACACAATACATCAACCATAGCAGACTGTATAATAAACTCCCCATGTGTTAACCTGTAATCCCAGCACTTGGGGGTCTGAGGCAGGCAGGGATCACTACAAGTTCAAGGCCAGCCTGGACTACATAGTGTGTCCAAGGCTGACCTGTGTAATGAGACCTGCGTAATGAGTCTTAAGGAACAAAAAAAGAAAAGCAAAAAGCTCTGTGTTTTCCAAAAGAAAAGCAAAGGCAAGAAGGAGCAGCTCCCACTGCTTTGCATAGCTTTGCAGCTTCCCCTCCTCATGCCCACCCTCGCTCCCCCTCCCTGCGGTCCTGGACGTTGACCTGTTAGGTCTGCGTTTACAGCAGCATTCTTCCAGGGAGCCACAGGCCAGGCCCTCTTCATTGGGAAATAGCGTCTTGCTAACTGGCCAGACTGCAGGTCTGTGAATCTTCCTGCCTCAGCCTGAGGAGTAGCTGGTCATGGCCACACACCCGGCTGGAACTGGAAATTCCCCAGGTTAATTAGTCACCAAGTGGACTCTGAAAGCAGGTTGTGGGATTTTAACACTGCTGCTTTAAAGCACGGTTCTGCCCTGTATTGGGGCGAATCCCTTACTCAGGTGTCATTCTGTAACTACATTCTCCCCTTGGAGCACACAGACTTAGCGACCTAGAGCATCATCTGGAGGTTAGAGCTCACCTTTGTTCATAATTCCATGAAGCTCAGCAGAGAATTCCAATTCTCGGGAGTAGCTGATGTTTTCTGGAAACTGCGCCTTCGCGTGGGGACTCTGTTGTCATCACTGGTGACAGCATAGCTGTCCACAGGGGCTATCACACTGTCCAAGGGACCCTGGTTCTTCCCTCAGACTTTGTTTCCCGGAAACAGAGGCGCAAAGGGGCAGGTCATGTGCACATGTGTGCTTGGGAGTGAACCCAGGGCTTTCCCACCCAGCAAAACCCCAGCCTTTTATTACTTTGTATTTTGAGTTGGGGGTCTCATTTTGAGTTGCTGTTTGCCCAGTTTGAGCTCCAATTTGTGACCCTTCTGCTTCAGCTTCCCAGAGTGCTGGCATCACAGCCCTGCACCTCGATGCCTGGCTAGTATAAAATGATCTTTGAGAAACAAGAACATGTATAAATAACGCTTTGGTTTTTGCACTGGGCTCTCACTGTGTAGCCCAAGGTGGCTTGGACCTTGTGCGACCCTTTTGCCTCAGCCTCCCCAGTGCAGGAAGTGCAGGCCTGTGCCTCCGTCCCCAGCTCAGATAAATAAGAACATTTTTGTAAACACCGTGTGGCCTGGCATGAAGAGTGTGATAACTGCTAGTGGGGCTCAGTGCCAGGGAGCTGGTAGTTACACCATCGTTTTTGTTCGTTTTTTAGGGTATTGCTATGTAGCCCAGGCTGGCCTGGAGCTTATGACAGTCCTCCTGCCTCAGCCTCCTGTGTGCTGGCATGACAGGTGTGCTGCCCCCTCGCCCCATTGCTTTTATATCATCAGTGTGGTCAACACAGCAAAAAAAAAAAAAAAAAAAAATTGGGGCTGGGGATTTAGCTCAGCGGCATAAGCGCCTGCCTCGCAAGCAGGCGGTCATGAGTTCAATCCCTGGTACCAATAAAAATGAAAATGAAAAAGACAAAAAAAAAAAAAATCATATATGAGTATTATTTTGGACATGACCCCCTGAGAGATTGTGGGGACCCCTAGGGGATCTGTGGGTCATACTTTGAGGAGTGCTAGTTCAGGTTATTAATACAGCTGAGTTACGTGTTCCTATTATCCTTTTTGGATACTGTATTTTTTCCCCTTGTCTTTCATCCATTTTTATGAAAGTGTCCCTTGACTGGTAAAAACTTTTTGTACGTTTCATATTTAAAGCCTCTCCACCCTCTCATTTGTTATTTGCTTTAACATACGTGTGATCATTTGGAATTTAGAAGTTAGATTTTTTGGTGATCCCTTTGCTAGGGGTTGAACCTGGGGTCTGTACAGTAAGGTCCTTGGCTTTAAAAATTCTTTGAGTTACTCCTACCTGGAGCCAGGCCCGACTCTTCTGTTTCATCCTCCTGGAGGTGAAGATGTCACTTGTGAGTTAAGGTTTAAGTAATTAGTTGTTAACATGTATGTATGTATGTGTATATATATATATTTTTTTTTTTTCTTTTATTTTGAAACAGGGTCTCACTTTTAGCGCAGGCTGCCCTTGAAGGCACCGTGTAGCCCAGGTTGGCCTCGAATTTAGCAAGATCTTCCTGCCTCAGTGTCCTGAGTGCTGGGATTACAGGAGTGTGCCACCACATCCGGCTTATTATTATTGTTTATGTTTGAAACATCTACCTGAATGTTTAAGCGTCAATTCTTTTTCTTCGTTTTTGTTGTTTTGTTGTTGAGGTAGTTTCTTGCTATGTAGCCCAGACTAACCTTGAACTCACTGTTAGCTCAGGCTGAACTTAAATTTGAGATCCTCCTGCCTTAGCCTTGTGAGTTCTGGGATTCCAGTTGTGTGCCACTGTGTCTGGATAGGTGTTAGTAGTTTTGAGGGGAAGATGGAATTTTTGTTTTTTCAAATGTTTGCCTCTAATTTTAACACTTATGGACCTGTTTGTGTGTGTGTGTGTGTGTGTAGGAGGGGTGAACCAGGAATCAAACTCAGAGCCTTACGCTTGCCAGGCAGGCACCATGCCACTGAGCTACACCCCAGGCTTCTGGACATGTACCTTTTTAAAATGCATAATTGCATTTCTTTGTAGATGCTGATAAATTTGTTTTTGTTTTTTTGTTGTTGTTTTGAAACAGGGTCTTGCTGTGTAGGCCAGGCTGTCTTGAACTTGTAGCAATCCTCCTGCCTCAGCCTGCCAAGTGCTAGAATTATAGGCTTGCACCACCACTCTTGGCTTTGTTCAAATTTCCGTGAAATATAATAATAATTTTTAAGCTTTAGGAATGATGAAATTTTTGTTGTATTGGAGGCTGATCTTCAGAAACTTGCAGAGAAAGCACTTGGTCTTATTTTATTTTTTTGAATCTAAGCATACTGGAGACCTGAGATACCAAAAGGAAGCTTATTCTGGAAAAATGGGAAATCGTCAAGTACTCTCCAGACCAAGTGTGGTCTGTATTCCAGTCAGCAGAGAGTGCTTGGAGGAGCTCAGCCCATCACTTCCATGGGTCTGTCCAGGCCGGTGGTGTCTGTTACCACACTGGAGCTGCAGCCCGGGAAGCTGTTTCACCCAGGCACCCTCTTTTGACTCGGAGAGAACTGGGGTGACGGCAGACATTATCCTCACTTCTGTAGCCAGGAAAGGGAATTGTGCTCTGTTTCTGGGCATGCCTCTTGTGTCCAGCTGAGGGAGTGGCCCTGAGAGCCTGCTGTGGGCTCTGGGCTTCTCGAACCCCTGCAGATTACTAACTGTAGTTGGAAGAAAAGCCTGGCTTTTTAAGGTGACCTGACACCCTAAAAGGTCATCTCGAGCTAGATTTGAAGTCTCATGATGCCAGTGGCCATGTGTAATTTAATTTTAAGCATTTATAATTTTCATTTCAATTAAGCTTTTTAAAATGTCCCTATTTGGCATGTGTAAACTCATTTAAAACATAGAAGAATTCTGTGAGGTCCATTGTAAAATACTACTTAATGTGTGTCGTAGTTACTTTTCTCATTACTGAGAGAATAGCCAACCCCCAAAGTTACAGGAGGAAAGGTTTATATTGACTCCCCATTTGCAGAGGTTTCAGTCCATAATCTGTGGAGTCCAAGGCAGGGCTACATGGCAGAGAGGCATTGCATAGGAGAAACAGTCCATGGTAGGGCAGGGCAGGCAGAGGGCAGCAAGCAGCAGCAGCAGCCTGCCTCTGCCTCTTATCCCTTTCAGGCTAGCTGCCCTTTGGGTGGTGCCACCTACACAGAGGACAGGGTCTTCCCGTTATCCACACCCAGAACTGTGCTAAGCTAATCAGCAGACTAATTTAGTAACCATGCACTCTTAACTCAGAATCATAAGCCCTAGATCCAGCCACCTCCAAAGAGCCTCACCTATGACCACGTGAGGGTTTGGAGGACATCTAGATACAAGCTAGAACAGTGTGTATGGTTTTTGACTTTTGAGGTTCACAGAAGAAAGATATAAAATACTTATACCAATTATTAAGATGTCTAGTAAGTGGTATGAGTATATTAAAGCTGTGTGACCCTACACAGTGTGATTTTTTTTTTTTTAGGTTGTGCAAGCATTGTTTGTCAACACTTCTTCAGGGTATGCATTCTATTTTATTCATTTTTTTTAGGATATAAATTTTTAAAGGAGAAAACACTTTATCAGCCATAATTATCCTATCATTAAAAATCATAGTACCTAACAAAATAAGCATTGTTCATACTGTATTTTCTACACTTGTTTTATAAAATAAGCACAAAATATGCATCGTTTGTTCAAGAGAATTGAAAGAGATTCCAGAGCTTGGCATGGTGGCACATGCCTGTGATCTGTAATCCAGGATACTCTGAAGGCTGAGGCAGGAGGACCACAAGTTTGAGGCCAGCCTGTTCAATTTAGTGAGATTGTCTCATTAAAAAAAAATGTTTTTAAAAGGGCTGGGGAACTGGATGTCGTGGCGTATACCTATAATCGTACTTCTTGAGAGGCCATGGCAGGAGGATTGCTGTGAGTTCAGGGTCAACTGGGGCTTTACAGTTAAAGGCCACCCTGAATTACATAGCAAGACCTGTCTCAAAAAAAAAAAAAAAAAAAAAAAAACTGCTGGTACATGCTTATAATCCCAGCACTTTGGGAGGCTGAAGCAGTAGGATCAGAAGTTTGAGCCTAAAATTGAAAAACAAACAAACAAACCTCAAGTTGGGCCCAATTCAGTGACTTAATGATAGTCTATCTCAAAATACACAAAGAACTGGGGCTGTCGTTCAGTGGAGCTCATTCCCAGTACAGCACAAGTGTGTGGGGTGTCACACTGACCTACACCCCCCTCCCCCCTCCCCGCCCTTCTTAATGTGGAGACAGGGTCTTAGTTGCTGTGGAACCTGCCATTGCCCTGCCTCAGCCTCCTGGAGTGTGCATGGCAGGAGTGTGCCATCCAGCGTTCCTCTTCCTGCCCTGCTCTTTCTACTTTCTTGAGTGTGTTTTTCTGACATCATATTATTGTGTGATTGTCTTGGTTACTTTTCACTCATCACTGAGACAAAATACCTGATGCTCAAAGTTAGGGAAGGAAAGGTTTATTTCTTACAGTTCTTGGATATTTTAGTCTGTACTCAGTTGGCTGTAAGGCAGGGTGGCCTGGTGGGCTGCTGCAAACAGCTAGCATTCTCTGGCAAGAGAGAGACACCTTCTTCCCGCTGATGCAACATATGCTGGCTCCACCCCTGGGCGGGTATAGCACCCACACCACCAATCCGAGTGCTACACAAGGAACCAATCACAAACGCTAGATTTGATTAAGTCCATAATTCATGAGGCTTGGGGGCCACTGACATTGACATAAACCATGACAGTGATACTTTGGTTCTTGGAAAAATTTTCACTGTTTGTTGTCCAGAATCCTCGTTCTCACTTGTGTGATTTTTTTAAAACTCCTTTAGTGACGTGTCTGATAAAAGCTTCTCCTTAGCATTACAGTAGCCTTGTGTTGGACTAGTTCCACGTTTTCAAGCCCGAGTTTGAAATATCTTCGTGAGACCAGAAATGAGGCTCGCCAGGGGTGTTTACTCACCCGCACATGTAGTGGCCGTAGGCGCTGGCTCATGTGTTTCCAGCAGCTATTCGGTCTCAGTGTTCAGGATGAGGTGTTTCCCTAACTCTGCACACTGCCTGTCCCTTCCAGGGCTGGACTGGTCGGAGGAGAGTGGAGAGGAGCTGGAGGACACCGAGCAGGCCTCGCCCTACCAGGCTGCATGGTCCCTGCGGGAGGCGCTCAGACACGAGAGACACACGTAAGTCCGCCCCTCGCCTGTCTTCCGCCAGCTGCCCTGGCCGGTGCCTTCCCCTTTTCCCTTATGCTGTTTTTCCATCACTGGATCTAGTTTTATTGTAACGAGGTAACCTGGATTCTCTTTGTGAGAAAATGCACCATATGCTTTGACAAAAGCTACACAGACATTTTTTTGGCAAGTTTGCTTCTGGGACTTTCTGTCGGACCCCTGGAGGAGCCAGTGGGGAGGTGATGAGAGCCACAAGGGACCCTGGTGTCTGTCGGCTGGGCATCCCAGGCTCTGGCCCCGCACCCTTGAGACCCCACCTCGGTCTTGTACAAGGGCGGCCTGTTCTGTACTCTCCTTGCCATGCTAAAACCTTTTCTAAGGTGATCCTTCCTGGTTCTCAGGACTTGTCTTAGCGAGCTGTCGCAGGGTACACAGGGCCCTTCTCAGTCTTCTCCAAGCAGGCCTCGGGGGAAAGTGTTGGTGCAGGCGGTGGAGATTAACACACATCCTCTTCCCTATTAGGAGAGCACTGATTTTCTTCTGGGGCCACATTAGTGACACAGGGCAAGAGCTCCAGGAGAATCCTGCATCTGCGGGGCTAGAAGGTGGCTCAGCCTCAGCTGACTGTCTGCAAATGCTCTTGTGATTTCAGCAGATAGAGGAGACAGCAGTCTGCACTGGACCAAATCCTAGACCTTCCCAGCTTCACTGTGTGGCTGTCCAGTTTAGGTTATGGTGACTGAATTTGCGATTAAGGAGTATGGTTTATTAGTGTACCCAGAAGTGGTTAGGCTTAGAAAAGTGGTTCATGGAGGCTAACCTATAAACTGAAACTCCACCAGAAGCAAAGCACAATGAGAAACTGACTTGGGCCAAGAGTGATATATGCCCAGCACTCAGGAGGCTGAGTGAGGTAGGAGGGTCGCCCTGAGTTTGAGGCCAATTTGGGCTACATAGTGAGTTCAAGACCAGCCTGCAGTGTATAGTGAGATACGGTCTTCAACAAAGCAAAGGAAACTTACTGGGGCAGGGAATTAGTGCAGAGACAGTTGGATTTATTAATCTAAAATACCCCTCATCGATGCCTCTCTGTGACCTGTGGAGATTCCTCCATATGCTTGGCCCAGACCTGCTGGTTGCCTGGCCTGGACAGTGCTGAAGAACGCTTGCCTGCAGCACCTTTGCTGTGTCCGGCAGGACTGTCGGGTGACTGAGCATGGTCCTTTCAGGGAGAGTAGCAGGCTGAGCTTCCTGGGTGACAGATGCTGTGGAATGCGCTGTGTGTCTGCCCATCTCGGCTTTCGGTCAGTGTGAGCACTGGCTGAGTTAGCACCAGGGGAGCTCAGGAAGATGTAGTCACCCTGACTGGGCTCTGGAGGTGACTTGCGTCATCAGTGGGAGGAGTGATCGTGGTGGATGGGAGCGTGTGCTCCATTTCTGCTCTCTGTGCCTCATCTGTTTGTGTAGCCCCCTTTGAAGTATGAGCCACTGTCTATGTACACGCAGGCCCTTTTCCTAAGCTGCTGCCTGCCTTTTCCTCCTCCTCCTTTCCTCCCCCTTCTCTCTTTTTTTTTGTCTTTTTGAGATAGGGTCTCACTATGCAGTTCAGGTTGGCCTTGAACTCACGGTGATCCTCCTGCCTCAGCTTCCCAGAGTGCCGGATTACAGGCATGCACCACCTGGCTGGGAGGCTTCTCCTTATCCAGGTAACTCTCTACTTCTTGCTCAGCTGTATCTTTGTCTTTCCCCTTCATTCCTCCTGCTCTTGTTGGCTCTTCAACTCTGTCTTCCCTCGGGGCACCCTCTTTGGGCAGCATCTTAGTGGATTACTGTGTCTGCAGCCCCACACCCGTGTCTGCCTCTCTGCTGCTGACGGGAAGGCTTACCCTGGATTGTAAACTACCAGCGGGACCTCTGGGTTCCAGATTCCACCGCAGCCAGCTATCTATCATTGCCCACTGTAGTGGGACCCGGTAGGCAGTGGCCCTCCCTGGACTGTCCATTACATCTTCCCGAGGTTTTGCCATTTCAAATTCCTCAGTGCATTCACTGAGTTTTTAGAGGCAAAACTGGCAGTGGTCTGATGTAAAGAGCCTTTCCGAGACATTATCTTGCTAAACCAGGATTGCATTTACCTTTCTGGAAAAAGATCTGGCTTCGTTCTGATGAGCCTTCTTGGCTACTGAGTGTGGCTGTGGGTGTGTCTTGCCACAGTGAGCTTGCAGGCTCTGCCTGGGTGTCGCTGTCAGGTGTGATTCCCTACTGTTGCTCCTTTTCATGCTCTTCTGCGTTTGCTGCCATCCTGTGTGTCTGTGCTCTCTGCAGCTTACCCTGGTCGTGAACTTGGGACCCAGCCTGGGCTGTCCGGCCCTTGTTCCCCATGCTCATGGTCACCTGAGTCGCCCCCTGTGGGCTAGGGTCACAGGGGTGCAGCATTTGACATTCTTCATGGTGTCTTTGATAGAAGTATACAGCTTGCCTGTTCGTGTTGGGCGTGTAAGAAGTCATGGCTTGTCCTTGGGTCAGAAAGCTATGCTCACATCCCGTCCGGATCAACAGTCTTTGTGATCTCTGATTATTTTGAATTTTGAAATGATGTGAGATCAGGTTGAGGCTGGTTTGGTTTGATTTGGCTCTGGGGACGGAGCACAGGCCGTGGATGCTGTACACAGGTGCTGGCGCTGACCGTGGGTACCCGTGGCCTTGCGCTTCCAGGTGTTAAACGCAGCGTGTGTCAGAGGTGGAGTCTGAGGAGAGATGTTAGTCTCGCAGTAATCACTGCTTTGGAAAGGGAATCGATCCTCTTAAGGACCCCCGGACCTTTTAACCGCTCTGCCTCCGTGCTCATCATTGGCAGTGGGGACACAGCTTCCAGCCTTGGAATCTTGGGGACACATTTGAATCCTAGTGGAGTTCTTTTCCTCTCGTTTATAGTCCTGTGACCGGAACCACATAGGAGGCGAACCTCTGGCACATGTGTGCCACAGGGGCTGTTTGTGCCACTGTGAGCCCTAAAGGCAGTGTTACAGGTCTTAGTCCTTCATCTGAGGAGTGGCTGGCAGTGTTTTCCCCATCCTGCTGATTGTTCTGTTACTCTGCTGATTTCCTTTGCTGTGCAGGAACCTTTTAATTTGATGTGATTCTGTTTGTGGGTTCTTTGTGTTATTTCTGTTTAGAAAGGCTTCCTCTGTGTCTTTGCCTCCAAGAGTTGTACCTGTATATTTTGTCTGTCAGCAGGTTACGTGTCTCTGTTTAATATTTAGGTCTTTGCTCCATTTCGATTCTAGCTTAGTGCCTGTTGAGAGAGGCAGGTCTAGATTCAGCCTTGGGCATGTGGATAGCCAGTTCTCTCAGCACTGTTTGTGACAGAGGTTATCTTTCCTCAAGCTCGTAACTTTGGCCCCTTAGGCAAACATAAGGTGTTCTGCATGCTGTGTGCTGTCTGCTGACCCACAAGGTGTTTGTCTGCCCATACCATGCTGTTTTAATCACTGTAGCTTTGTAGTATAACCTGATGTTTGGGATTAACATGCTGCCCGCGTCGCCCTTGTTGCGCAGAATTACTTTTGGGGTTCTAGGTCTCTTCTGTTCATGTGAATTTCAGGATGGCTTCCTCTAGTTCTATGAGGAATGCTCTTGGTATTGTGATTGGTGCTGCATTAAAACTGTCACAGTTCTGGGAGTAGGGCCATTGGGACTGTATTGTTTCTCCCTACCCAGGAGCGAGGGATGTCTTTTTATTTTTCTGGTGTCCTCTTTGATCATCTTTTATAGGTTGTTTTCACTGTAGAGGTCTTTCACTGCCTTGGTTAGATTAATTCCTAAATGTTTTGTTTTCCTTTTTTTTTGGTGCTATTGTGAAAAGTATTGTTTCCCTAATATCACTGATAGTGTTTATTATTGGTGTACAGGACCACAACTTTTCACTGTTTAACCATAGTTTTTTCACTGTTTACTTTGTATTCTGCTTTACTACTGCAGTGGATGATTTATTCGAGCACTCTTGGATGGATTTTGGAGTCTTCTATATAGAGGATCACATCCTATCGTAAATAATGATAATTTGACTTCTTCCTTTCTTATCCATATGCCTTTTCTTATTTGCTGGTTGGTTTGGCTTTTTTTTTTTCTCCATCATTAATGTACCTCTTATTGTTTTGTTTTTTGAGACAAGATCTTGCTACATAGTTTGAGCTCATTATTTGACCCAGGCTGGCCTCAAACCCTTGGTGATCCTCTTGCCTCAGCCTCCTGAGTGCTGTGATTACAGGCATCCCTGCCGGCACCTTTTATTTCTTTCTCTTTTCTAATTGCTCTGGCTAAAGTTTCAAGACTGTGTTGAGCAGAAGTGGTGATATGGGCGTCCTTGTGTTGTTTCTGATTTTATAGGGCAAGCTTTCAGCATCTCTTTATTTAATGATATTGGGCATTGGTGTGTCCTTTATGGCTTTTACCAAACTGAGACAGAGACCTTCTGTACCTGTTTTCTTCAGAGCTTTTATTATGAGTGGATGTTGTTTCATCAAATGCTTTTTCTGCATCTATTGAGATAGCTGTGTGATTTTTTTTTTTTCATTTGTGTCTATGTGGTGTGTTCTATTTACTGATTTGTGTATATTGAGGCATTCCTGCATCTCTTAGAATGAATCCTACTGGGTCAGGACACAATATATATTTTATTTTATTTTGGTACTGGGGATCGAACTCAAGACTGTGCGCTTGCAAGGCAGGTGCTTATGCCGCTGAGCTAAATCCCCAGCCCCTGGGGGCGATATTTCTGAGACAGGAGCTCACTATACAGTTCATGCTGGCCTTGGGCTCACTTTGTAGCCCAGGCTGGTCTCGAACTTGCAGTGATCCTCCTGCCTCAGCGTCCCGAGTTTTGGGATTACAGGCATGTGCCACCACACTCAGCTTCTTGATTATTTTGACTACTCTATATTTTGAACTTCTATAGTAGTTCTAGAATTGAATTACCACTTTCTCCAAATCACACTGTTTGTGATTATGGTTTCCCTTATTGTTGTTGTTATCAGGAAGCAAACTCAGGATCTTGTGCTTGCCAAGCAGGTCCTTGTGCCACTGAGCTAAATCTCCAACCATAATAGTTTATTTTTTTCTAGTTCACAAATAGGATACTACTCTAGTTGGTCTTTTGTATTTTTTTGTCTCTAACATTTAGTTTTTGTTATAAATGTCTTATATATTTGATAAGATTTGTCTTAAGAGTATTTTAGTAATTTATTGCTAGTACTTGGTAAGCATAGTTAGGTTTGACTGGGGATTTAGCTCAGCGGCACAAGCACCTGCCTGGCAAGCCTGAGGTCTTGAGTTTGATTCCTGGTACTAAAGAAAAAAAGAGTATATTGACAAACAGTTGTCAGTTCCATATGTTCTGTAGTTTTGATAAATTTATTTAATTAGCTCTAGATTTTCTGGGGTATGCGTGCTTCCGAATATGAACAGTTTTACTTTTAATCTTTATGCCTTTTACTCCCATTTCTAGTTTTGTTGTCCTGGCTAAGATATTTAGTAACATATTGAATAGAAATAGTGAGGATGGGCATAGTTGCCTTTTAAAAAAAAAATTGTAGGTAGAATACAGAAGTTTGATTTAAAATAACTTATTGGAGTTTCATTTGCTTCCTTTTCACATGTACTTGACTATCCCTGATATTTCTTTGTCTATTTATTTCCCTTTAAGACAGGGTCTTGCTCTGTAGTTGACGCTGACCTTGAGCTCGCTATGGTAGCCCCAGCTGACCTGGAGTGCCCGGTGATCCCCCAGCTTCAGTCTCCTGAGAGGTGTGATTACAGGCATATGCTACCACAGCTGGCTTGGAAGGAATCTTATTTGGAGAATCTTAGGTCACGCCCTGAGATTAAGGTTGGGATGGTTTAGAATGTCAGGTCTGGGACTTGTTGCTGTCTCTGTGTTTTGTCAGTGATGACCTAATAACAGCAAACCCGCACTCCTGGTTTGGTAGATACTGGTTTTCCTTTTCCTTCTCATCGCCTGGGGCTGTGGGCAGCTTTGCCTCGGATCTCAGGTCACAAATGAAGGAAGCTAAAGATGGAACTAACACTGTCCCTCCAGTGCGCTGGCCCCACTGGGAACTGAGGGTGGGGGTCAGGCTCTCCCTGGGAGCAGCCCTCCTCATGCAATGTCTGACACAGCGACACTGTGGCTCTCCAGGTGCCCGGCCTATCGCTGCAACCCCAGCATTCTGGGAGGCTGAGTCAGCAGGATCTCCTGCAACTTAGTGAGACCCGGTCTCTAGGTAAAAACTACAGAAGGCGGGTCTGCAGCTCAGCGCAGAGGTCCTGGGTGCAGTTTTCACGGGGAGCTGCAGGCTGTGCCGAGGTTGCCCCAGAAACCAGGAAACCTCAGAGCTTTCCTGGCCCCAGCATGCGACCCACCCGTCTCCCAACGGGGCCCCCTCCCCTCACCCTGCAGGTCCAGCGCTGTGTCTCGGTTTCCCTTTCTTACCCTCCTAATCCCATTGCCCAATCATGCTCATTCTTCCCTGGTGCTGGCGTTGCCCCAGCTTCTTCCTGTCACCTCCGGGCCTCGCCCTTCTGTGCCCTGCGTGTCACTGGCATGGCAGTTGCTATGCCGGGGTCCGCGCCACGTGGGCTCGTGCTTTTGCACTTGAGGTCACTGTGGGTGGTGGTACAGCGGCTGTCAAGCACGTGCAAGGTCCTGGATTAGATCCCAGGGAGGCCCAAGAAACACCAAAATAATAAAGGATCCCTTGGTCCGAGGTGAGATTCAGTTTTGCTCTGTATCTGCTCCCCCGGGTCTCGTATTTTTTTTCTTTCTTTCTTTTGTCTTTTTCCTTTTTATTGGTACCAGGGGTGGAACTCACGACTGCCAGCTTACAAGGCAGGCGCTTATGCCGCTAAGCTAAATCCCCAGCCCCTAGGGTCTCGTATTTTCTAAAGGGCACTACTGCCCTGCCTGGTGTTCTGTGTGGAAGCAGCTGGGTAGTGACTGCCCCTTGTCCACTCCTACACAGTTGGTGGGGTTTGTCTGTGCTCACAGGTGACCCCATGACCCTTCCTGTTCCCATGCCTGCTCCTCCTGGGTGAGGGTCCTCACCCTCTCCTACCTGGAGTTTCCTACCTATCCTTTCCTGTTTTCCTGGTTATCCTGGATTCGATCACTCCTTTGAAGTCTCCTTACAAACACCTGTGCTGTTATACCCGTTCTTAGAAACCCACAGAGATTTCTACTGTCTGAGACAAGGGTTGCACAGTTTCCTGTGACTACAGGTGTAGAGGTTTGCTTTGCCCTGTAGAGGTTTATCAGTGTCCTGCCGTCCTGTCCTGCACCAGACCAGGCCTCTGACGCTCGCATTCGGGGTTCTCTCTGGAGCCTGGCTCGGCTTGTTTATCCTTGGGAGACGCCCTGCTTTCTCTCCTTGCTGTTCTCCTAGGGCCATTTCTGGCCTCCGCTTTCCAGAGCCTTTCACCCAGCAGGCTTCCTTGCTGGTCAACTGCGGTGGCTCTGCCTCTGTGCTGCATACCAGCTCCCTGCCCTCTTTCTCCTCCTGGAGGGGTTCAGAGTCCTGCTGGCCTCAAATACGAAACCCAAGTACAGACCTATCTTGAGACTTTGAGGGTTCATTGGTTGGGGCATCTCCCAGCCCACTGGAACTGAGTTCCAGTTCAGTAGGTCTGGGATAGGTCCTGGGAATCTGCTTTTTGTTTTTGGTGTTTTTGAGATATAGTCTTGCTATGCAACTCAGGTTGGCTTTGCACTCACTTTGTAGCACAGGCTGATCTTGTGCTGGGATCACAGATGTGCGCCACCACACCTGGCTGAATTTTAACCTACTCTTAGATTTTTCTGCTGTGTTCAGATACTTCAGGTATTGGTCTATGTGACCCACTGTTTTGGTTATTGAGTTTAGCCTCTTGAGTTACATGATTGTGCAGTGTGGGTTTTTTTTTTTTTTTTTGTCTAAATTTCATTTCAAACTTTTTGAAACTTTGCTCTCTGTTCCTTAGTGTTCAGTGTACCGCTCACTGTAAATGTTGAATGTTGGATAAATGAAGGAGGAAGTAAGATCCCTCTGTTTGTCTGCCTGAAGGAAAACTATCCTGTAGAGGTCAGGCTTGTAGGAGAGATTGCAAGGAGTTGAGAGAGTAGCGTTATAGGCCATCTGAAAGGAGGAGGAGTAACACCTTGTAAGATAACAAAAGCAATGATTTTAAGAGAAGATTAGATGTGGTTTACTTCTGACTGAAGAGAAAGAAGATAAAATAACACAGGTTAGTAGTAGTGCTGGATAACTAACAACACAAAGTGAGATCACAGGGTGACTCAGGCCTTTAATCTCAGCGCTGGGAGGCAGAGGCAGGAGAAGCACTTTGGGTTCCAGGCCAGCCTAGTGAGTTTAAGGCCAGACTGAACTACATGGCAAGACCCTGTTTGTGAGAGAGAGAGAGAGAGAGAGAGAGAGAGAGAGAGAGTGCGAGAGAGGGAGAGGACCAACTATGAAGACTTGAATCTCGCCAGTGTGTGCAGGGCCGGTGAACTGTAGCTATCTCTGTTGAGCCCAGACTCGGATGAACAGGGCATTGTCCACCCATCACAGTGGCACATGGGGGGGCTTACTCTCTGCCGTCTGGAGGCTGTCGAGCACACAGCTGAGCTAACCCTGTGGTGTGAGTGCGAGCTCTGCAGTGCCATCGAGACTCCAGCGGTTAGTGAGACGGGCTGCAGCGTGTCCAAAGGGCCGTTTGTCAGCACCGCCCTGCTGTCTTTCACTGTGGTGTCCCCACTGTGACCATTTATGTGTGACATAGTGGTTTGTGGGTCCTCGTAAGTGCCATTCCTCTGTGCATACTTTCTTAGTCAATAAACATAATGAGATTACTTTGTGCAAGTCCCTAACTTGTCTAAGGCTTAGACCTAGTGGGATGACATCTTGAGAAGGCTGAGCCTAAAACACTGCTTTGCTTTTGGCTGAAACACTGTTTTGCTACAGATCTACTGGATCTTTTTCTTTTTTTTTTTTTCTTTTCTTTTTAAGACAGGATCACGCTATGCAGTGCAGGCTGGCCTCAAGCTCACTTTGTAGCCCACGCTGGTCTCAAACTTGAAAAGATCCTCCTGCCTCAGCCTCCTGAGCTCTGGAATTACTGGCGTGCATCACCAGGCCCAGCTCTTTCCTGCTGTTTTTAAAGGATGTTCTTTTGTGTCTGAAAAGTCGTAAACCCTCGGCCCTCGATCACGTTTCTCTGACGGTGCTCGTGCTATCTATCCCATTTTTCACTTCTCTCCCTGTACTTTTCAGATCTGACGATGAGGACGACATGGCCAGCAGGAGTTCCAGGGTGACCCAACTTTGCACTTACTTTCAGCAGAAATATAAGCACCTCTGCCGCCTGGCGCGGGCTGAGTCACGGCAGAAGAGATGCAGGCTAGCGCTGAGGAGCGCACTGCTACAGGCGGCCAGCCGTGAACCCGAGAGCGCCGGGCAGCTGCTGCAGGAGCTGCGCAGAGCGGCATGTGGCCGCACCAGGTGAGCACTTCTGGGACTGTGGCTGGCTTGGGCCTGGGGCTGGGCCTGCGCCTGCTATGTCCTCGGGCTCTCTCTCCTCCCATCTGCCCCGATGGGCTGCGTCTTGGTTTTCTGTTTGGAGAGGTTAATGCAGGACGGGAGATGTTCATTTCACGTGAATGTCACATTTCAGTGTCATTGGTTGGAGAAGGCACTGAACAGGGGACAGAATAAGCTAGCAGGGAAAGAAGTGTGTGATGGAAACTTCCACAGAATTTGAAGAAAGCAAAGTCGTTTGAGGGCTTCGTCTCGTTTTGTCTTTTTTTTTTTTTTTTGCCTTTTCCCTTTTTATCGGTACTGGGAATCGAACTCACGACCGCCTGCTTGCACGGCAGGCACTTATGCCGCTGAGCTAAATCCCCAGCCCCTCGTTTTGTCTTTTTAAAGAGTAGAATTGGTACACTTTGGCACACATAACAGTCACATTCATCCTAGTGAATCTGTACTTGTACTTGATGTCTTCTAACTTTTCCCGTTCACCTCCCTCACCTTTAATCCTTCTTTGCCTGTCACTCTGCAAAGCTGTCCCTTCCTTCCACTCATTTTTACTCTTTTACTCCTGTTCCCTTCCCCTCCCCGCCATTCCCCTTGCCATGGGAACATTTTGTTTCCTCTGCCCAATATCTGTCACCCAGTCAACCCTCTTTGACTGTGTGGGTTCTCACACAGAGGAAACCATGTGATACACATGTGTGCTCAACGAGTTTCTCTTAAAATGGTGTTTTCAAGATGCATCCATTCACCTAAGAATGTCTCAGGTTTTGGCTTTGTGGCAGAATAGTACTCTGTTGTATACAGAAACACATTTTCTTTACCCATTCATCTACTGATGGGCATTTGAGTTGTTTAGAAAAGTTAGCTATTACAAACTTCTGCTATAAACGTGGGCATGCATATATCGCTGTGGTACAGTGCTTTAATTCTTTTGAGGAGATGCCTAGCAGGGAACAACAGAGTCTCATGGAACCTCTGGTCTAGCTTTCTGAGGAATCTCCACACTGATTCCACAGTGATTGTACCAATCCACACGCTCACCTGCTGTGGAGAAGGGGTCCTTTCCCCCTCTGCCCCACCAGCATTCTTATTGGTTGATTTCTTGATGCTAGTCATTCTTTCTGGGATGAGATAGAATCTCAGTGTTGTTTTAATTTGTGTTTCTCAAATGACCAGTGATGTTGAACAATTTTTTCTGTATTTAATTGCTGTTTGTACTTCTTTATCTGAGAAGTGCCTACTCATTGTGAATTCCATTTTGGGATTGGATTTTTAAATTTGGAGTGTCTGGTTTTTTTGAGTTAGTTCTTTGTATAGTCTAGATATCAGTCCTTTGAGGACTAGCTGGTAAAATACTTTCCCATTGTGTGGGTTTGTGTTCACTGTGTTAGTTTTGCTATGTAAAAGCTTTTTAATATGATATGACAGCAGTTGTTAATTCTTTGTCATATTTTGTATGCAATATGGGTTTTGTTCATGAAATCTTTGCCTACGCCTGTGTCTGTAAGAGTTTCACCTCTTCTGTCTTGTAGCAGATCAAGTGTTCTTTTATAATTCTCCGTGAGTCAGGGTCTTGCTATGTAGTTCGCGTGGGCCTTGAATTCACTGTGTAGCCTCAGCTGACGTTGAACTCATAGCAGTTGGCCTCCGCCTCCCAGAGTGCTTACCTCACATCCACTCCTTGCTTTCATATTTAGATCTCTGATCTATCTTCATTTTAATTTAGTGAATGGTTAGAGATACGGGTCTAGTTTTACTCCTCAGCATGTGGGAAGAAGTTTTCCCAGTGCCATTTATTAAAGAGGCTGGCTTTCCTGTGGTAAATTTGTTTGGCCCCTTTGTCAAAGATAAGGTGGATGAATATGTTTGGAATTTGTCTTGGTTACTTTCCTTGCTGGGACAAAACACTGACACTCAAAATGAAGGGAGGAAAAGTTTATTTCTTACAGTTTGTGGAGGTTTCAGTCCATAACCAGCTGGCTCCAAGGCAGGGTGGCATGGCACTGGGGCAGCACTTCAAGGAGCAGCCAGACCAAAAGGGAAAAACAACCTAGCTAATATTGTCCACTAGCCACGCCCTTGCCCTCCTCTTGCACAGGGTTAAGATATTTACAAAGTAAGAACTTTGGCTTCCTACTGAGTCTCTCAGTTAAACTTGTAAATGGCCCAAGTTGACACAATATACTAGCCATAACAGTTGTTTCTGCATCTTCTATTCTGTTCCATTGATCCTTGGGTCTGCTTTTATATCAGTACCATGCTATTTTTATGTCTGCAGCTTTGTCGTATAATTGTAGTAAATGTGATGTACCCTGCCCTGCCTTTGTTTCTCAGATATACTTCTGGTATCCTAGGGCTCTTCTGGTTCCAAATGAATTTTAGAGTTGTTTTCCCAAATTCTGTGAGGTATATTATTGGTGTTTTGATCGAGATTGCACTAAATCTTTATATAATAATTTTGGAAATGTGGCCATTTTAACTATATTGGTTCTTCCTACCCAAGAAGAAGAAATGCCTTTCCATACTCTTCAATCTGCGTTTTCAGAGTACTGTAGTTTTCAATGTAAAGGTCTTTTACTTCCTTCTTTAGATTGATTCCTCAGTAATTTATTTTTGTTGATGCTATATTCTGAAAGGTGCTATCTCCCTAATTTCTAAGTGATTTTGTTATTTTTGGAATGGTGTATTTGTTTCTGATTTTGTCTTTTTTGAGACGGGGTCTGACTATGCAGTTTAGGCTGACCTTGAGCTCATGTTGTAGCCCAGGCTGGTCTTAGAATTTGAATTTGCAATAATCCTTTTGCCTCAGCCTCCTCAGTGCTAGGATTATAGTCATACACTCCCATGACTGGCTGTTTCTGATTTCAGAGTGAAAGTTTTCAGTTTTGGACCATTTAGTATGACTTTGGCTGTTGGTTTGTCATAGATGACTTTTATCAGATTGAGATAAAGACCTCGTATTCTGATTTTCTGTAGGAATTTTATCAGGAATGGGTGTTGAATTTTGTCAGATGCTTTTTCTACATCCATTGAGATGATCATATGATTTTCTTCCTTGGTTCTGTAAAAATGGTGTGTTTCATTTTTTAATTTGTGTATGTTGAACCATCTGTGCATCCCTGGGTGGATTGTTCATGGTTATGGGGTATAATCTTCCTGATGATTTGCTGCATTGTTTGCCAGTCTCTTACTGAGAATTTTTGCATCTGTGATCATTAAGGAGATTGCCCTGTAGCACTTTTCGGATGGGTCCTTTTCTGGTTTTGATACCAGGCTAATGCTTGCTTCTAGGAATGACCTCGCGAGTACTGCTTCGTTTCACTTTCATTGGAGAGCTGGAGGAGTAGAGATCAGTTCTCTAAATCTCTTGTGGGATTCAGCAATGAATCCATCAGGACCTAAACTTTTCTTTGTTGTTAGTTGTTTTAGTTATTTGTCACTCGTTACTGAGACAAAAACCCAACACCCACAAGTTAAGGGAGGGAAGCTTTATTAGCTCACAGTTTGGAGAGGTTTCAGTCCATAATCAGGTGGCTTTAAGGCAGGGTGGCACGTGGCAGAGGGGCAACCATTCATGGCACCTGAAGACAAGGGAAGAGAGAGACCAGCGTGTTTCATTTCTTACACTGTATGCAGGATACCTACCTCAGAGTGATTGTGGCACTCATGCCCTTAATCCCAGTTCTGGACCATGACTCCAGATTGAGCCACCTCTGCAAAGCCTACTGCCCATGACTGCATGAAGCTTTACATAAACCATAATAGTAGTTTTTAAATTACTTCTTCAATTTCATTGATTGATACTGGGTTATTTAGAATCTTTATAACTTTTATATTTTGATTTCACTTTGGTAATTGATTTGTATCTAGGAATCCATTCACTTGGAATTTTCCATTTCATTACCATACAAGTTCCTCAGAGTAGGAACTGATAATCTTCTCGATTTCTATAGGATTTCTTGTGATTTCATCCTTTTTATTCCTGATTGCATGAATTTGAGTCTTTTCACATTCAATTCCACTTTGATCTTGATAATCCCCTTCCTCATACAAGCTTTAAAAAGTAGACATATTTATTCAGCATCATGATCACACTATTTAGCAATCAATAGCATGGGTGCAAAACGTCTACATTAAAACCCTTTGCTGGAATGTAGCTTTCCACAGAAGAGAAACTGAAATAACCTGTTATACAGTTAGTCACAAATACAGTCCTCGAGTTGTTTGCCCCCACACACGAGTATTGTCAGAAACTTGTCTTCTTTGTAGCAGCTGGGTGCTGCCACCACTGTGCTTGGCTGGGTTCACGAATCTGTTGTAACCTGTAGCGTCCCTGCCTCTGTCTCTCCTGCTAAGCTTTGTTTCCTGGAAGTATTGAAACCCTCTGCCACTGCCATAGCCACTGCTGCTGGAACTACCGCGTGGCCCAGAGCTTCTGCCTACAAAGCTTCCTCCCCTCACGGGCCCCAAACTCGAAGATTGACTGTTGTCCAGGTTCCTTGTTGCTTCCACCCCCTCCATGACTGTTTCCATCATTACCAAATCCATTGTTGCCCTCCCATCTGCCACCACATCCACTTCCACCTCGGCTGCCAAAGTTTCCCCCTGTGACCAAAACTGCCATTTCCGCCGCCACCACCACAATTCCCAGAGCCATGTCGACCCCCGTGGCTGGGTGATTTCCTGGCCACTGCCTGCCCAAACAGGGCCTTCCTGATCTCACAGTGCGGCATTTGTGAATGACAGTCTTATCCACGGAGCCATGGTCATCTAAAGGTTACAAGAACAAAGCCCCTCTCTTTCCACTGCCTCGGTCACTCACAGTTTCAGCCACCTCCAGTTTTCCATAGTGTTCAAAATAACCTCATAGGTGACGCTCTTCGCGTCTTCTTTAATGCCTCCTACAGAGATCTTCCTGGGTAAGCGTGCCCCTGGTCTGGGGACCGCTCCCGTAAGACTGGTCTGCA